GACAGCTTCTCAAAAGATTTGGCATTTGGTTGTGGTATATGGTCCGCAGGATAGGGAGGATAAAATTGTTTTTCTCAATGAAATCCGTGTTCTGTGCCATCAGAATCAGGCTCCTATGTGCATTGCAGGAGACTTTAACCTTGTGCGGAGTCACGATGAGTACAGAGGGTCTAGGCGGAACAACAATTTGATGGAGGAATTTAACAACGTTATTGATGAATGCGGGATTATGGAGCTTCCGCTAGGCGGCAGCAGTTTCACTTGGTGTAAAGGAGGAGATAACAATTGTTTGTCCAGAATCGATCGGGTGTTTGTAACTTTGAGTTTTGACACCTTGTTTCCGGATTGCTCTTTGTTAGCGATGGATCGCATAGAGTCGGACCATAGTCCATTGCTGATCAAATGGGGTGAAAGTCAGAGGGTTCACCGTCCTTGGAAGTTTGAGAATATGTGGCTAGAGGATGGCAGGTTCTATTCGGCCTTGGTTGAGTGGTTAAACACACAGATTCAGGGACGAGGAATGGTTTTCAGGTGGGTTCGAAGGTTGCAGGATCTCAAGAATAAAATCAAGGTCTGGAACAAGGAAGTTTTTGGGGACATGAACAAGAAGCTTGAGGAGCTTATTGCTGAGAATCGGGATATTAATCATAGGGAGGAAGATAGGATGTTGACGGCTGAGGAGGTGAGGAAGAGAGAGTGCATTCTGGTCGAGATTGGGCAGGTTCTGGATCTTCTGGAGATTTCGTGGAGACAAAAGTCACGAGAATTGTGGTTAAGCAAAGGGGACAGGAATTCTGGTTTTTTCCACAGGGTGGCAAACTACAGAAGGAAAGTTAATCGCATTGACAGCATTACAATCAATGGTTTGTTAACCGAGGGCAGGGAGGAGGTAGCCATGGGAGTAGTTGAGTTCTACAAAGGCTTGTTTCGTGAAGACCTAAAGCAGCGTCCTTTCCCTAGACAGTATGACTGCTTTAGGATCACGGATGAGGATGCCCAGCTCCTAAACAGACCCTTCTCGGAATTGGAAATCTGGGAGAGCATTGCGGATTGTGATGGTGGGAAAGCCCCAGGCCCGGATGGGTTCACATGGGAGTTTTATAAAAAGACTTGGAACCTTATTAAACCAGAAATCATGCTTGCTTTTGGTGACTTTTTTAACTCAGGATATCTGCCGTTTTGTGCTTCTCACTCTTTCATATGCTTAGTACCCAAGAAAGATTCTGTGGACGACATCAAGGATCTGCGCCCTATAAGCCTAATGGGTAGCTTTAATAAGCTTGTTAGCAAGGTTCTGGCTAGAAGACTTGGATCTGTTCTACCTCATATTGTCACTAAGAATCAGCATGCGTCAGTCAGAGGCAGGCAGATTGGGGAGGCTGGATTAATTGCCTTTGAGCTGTTGGATAGCAGGAAAAAGAGCAGGAAGCCAGGTTTAATGTTTAAGTTGGATATTGAAAAGGCTTTTGACAATGTTAACTGGAATTGTTTGTTCCTCATTTTGTCTCGTATGGGTTTCTCAGAACAGTGGCTGAAATGGATCAAGGGCACGATGTGCTGCCCAAAAATATCTGTTCTTATAAATGGAGAGTCGAAAGGTTACTTTGGCACCGAGAAGGGTTTGCGTCAAGGTGATCCCTTGTCTCCTGGTCTTTTCACTTTGATAATGGATATCTTATCCTTTATGATCAGTAAGGCTCGGGACAGTGGAAAAATTTCTGGCTTTTTCATGGATGAGGAGAGTGGGGGTGGGGAGGTTACTCATCTTCTTTTTGCGGATGACACTCTGATCTTCTGCGATGCTGATTTTGGACAAGTTAGAAGCATCATCGCCACTCTGGTTTGTTTTCAAGCTGTCACAGGATTGAGAATTAACCTGGATAAGTCTGTTATGTACACTGTTGGCGACGTGCCCAATCCTGATTTCTTGGCCTCAGTCTTTGGATGTAATTGGAGTGGAGACGCTTCGAAGTATTTGGGTTTTCCTCTTGGATCCAAACCAAATTCGGCTTCGGTGTGGGATTCAATGGTGGACAAGTACCAAAAGAGGCTGGAGGGTTGGAAAGGCAGATTTCTTTCCATGGGAGGCAGATTGACTCTTAACAAGGCTGTGCTTTCAAGTCAAACTGTGTATTATTTCTCCCTCTTTCGTGCTCCATCTAAGGTGATCAAAAGGCTTGAAGGAATTCAAAGAAGATTTATTTGGAGTGGTACAGGGGAATGTCGGAAGATTCCTCTTGTGGGTTGGGATATTTGCAAAGCTTCTGTTACTCAAGGGGGTTTGGGTATTACGGATCTCGATTCTTTCAACAGCGCTATGCTAGGGAAGTGGTTGTGGCGTTTTGCTACTGAAAGAGGAAGTTGGTGGAGGGAGCTGATTTCAAACAAGTATCCTAATCATCTTTCGGACTGGCATACAGGGAGAAGCAGACAGGGTTTTTCTGGTTCGGTGTGGGCTAACATATCCAAGGGATATGATAGCTTCTGGCAGATGGCGAATATTGATCCCGGTAATGGCGATTGGGTGTCTTTCTGGCATGACAGCTGGATTCCTGAAGTGGTGCTTGCTGACTCCTTCCCTAGAGTGGCCGCAGCCTCAAGTTCTCAGACTGCCTCGGTCTCAAACGCCATGATCCTCTCTGGTGAGAATGTTGTGTGGCATGTTCCTTTAAATTTCAATCTTAGAGGGGGGGCTGAAAGGGAGAGAGTTAATTTGATGAATTTGCTTAACATGGTTGGTTCCAGGCGGGTGACCAGCGGGCCCTCTAGGCCAGTCTGGTTACCCAATCAGGAAAACTCTTTTTCTGTTCGATCTATGTACGGGACTCTAGCTGACGAGAAGTTCAAGGGAGTGGTGGATTTTCCTGCTGATTCTGTTTGGCGGCAGATCGTCCCGACAAAGGTCTGCGCGTTTATGTGGCTTGTGGCTCACAAGCGCATTCTGACTTTGGATAATCTCCAAAAAAGAGGATGGCAACTTGCGAATAGGTGCGAGCTATGCGGAGAGAAGGAGGAGAGCATTGATCACATCCTGACCCAGTGTGGTTTTGTTGCGGAAATATGGTCAAGAATGCAGAGGGTCTGTGGGGTTTTGGATCTTCCCAGGGGTGATATTCTCACTTCTATTCGAAGATGGCCTGTGGTTGCGGATGACAGTGCGGAAAGTTGGGTTCGGTTTGGTGCTCTCCACGCTGTGTGTTGGCAAGTTTGGCTCGAAAGGAACAGGAGGATTTTTGAAGGCACCAGGCTGAACACAAGAGGAATATCACGGAAGGCAGTTAGGGAGACGCTGGATTGGGCTATTGCTTGCGGAAAGGTGGATAAAGGCCAAGGTCTGAGTTGGTTGGAAGGGCGGCATCATCTTCTTTAGTGGGAAGGCTGTGTGTTGGAGCCTTGCCGATCTCTTCGTTTTTTCATTTCCCTTTCTTCTTCTTTCTTTTTTTCGAGGCGTAGAGTCTTTTGGGGGTGCTCTGCCTGCTCCTTTTTTATTTTCTTCTTCCCTGTGTGCTGGTTGTTGTGTGTGCAGGGAGTGTTTTGTTTCTGTTTCTGTTTTTGTTTTACACACTTTGGGAGTGGTTTGGTCCACTTTTTAGTGTGGTTTTTCTGGTTTGTTTGTTGGCCGTTGGTGGCTGTTTGCTTGGGTTTCCTTTTTCCTTTTCGGGCTTGGCTTAACAGGCGCCAGGCTTAGTTCAGTCCTCCTGAACTTCTTGCTGCCTCTGTTTCGCCTTGCTCCTTCTGTGTTTTTCTCTTTTCGTTAATGAAAGTTAAATCACCATTATCAAAAAGAATTGGCAATCGGCAGTCAGAGATGGGCTATTGGAAGCCGGTGTTGATCCCATTAATTATAGGGTTTAGTTTAGATCATTCAGTGGGTACCAAGATTGGTGGTTCGACATTCGGGAGTTCTGGTCGTAGACATAGTGCTACTTATCTCCTCAGCTATGCGAAAGCTTTGAATATTCGAGTGGCTGTCTTCCCGAGTCATCGCCGGGCTTAAGAAAGACGGAAAGAATTACGTATAATAAGAATTATTGTCCCGAATTGTCGATCGATCTTCCGGTATCTTGCGGGATCAATGGTTTATCGGTTTTATCCAGGTACACGCTGCGTCAGTACGGAAGAGAGGCCGACAGCTTGATCGAAAGTGCTGGCATGGTACCAGTCTGTCAATAGTAAACGGTTCAGGACGGGAGAGCTGCGGCGAGACGATGATCAACCCATTCAGACCAGCCGCCCTCTGCATCCCGCCTGCAACAAGATTACAGATTTAATGAGTAATATAATCATGTCATGCCATCAATTAAGATCACTAAACTGAATGCATTAGTTTCTGAACAGAGTAGTTAGATTGCTTGTTTGTTTCACCTTTTCGACGACGAATCTGTAAGTGAAGGATTCGCCGGGCAGGATGGGGCACTGGGCGACGCCTTCAGCACGACGGTGTACCAAACTGGCGGATGCCATCCCAGTGAATGGCGGTGTTCTCTGTGCCGAGGCTGTTCTTCAGGACGACGATCGGCAGTGGATTAAACTAAGTGGTTCCCGGGTGGATGATACAAAGATAGCACACTGATTTGAATTAGCTTATAAGCTGAAGAGGGTGAGCATTCCAATGGAGAGCAGAAAGAGAGACCAGCACAGCACACTACACTGATATGAGATTGGTGGAGAAAGACTTCGGAATTGACCCATTTGTTTTAAAGCTGGTGGATATTTCAAGTAATGACATACCATAATAGTTGTTATTTTATAAGGTGGGGGAATCGGCCGTACCTTCTCAGGCCAGCAATCTCCGGTGCTCCAAACTCTCTGCTTTTCTGCTTCTGTTTTGCGTGCAAGTGAGAGACTCAGCAGCGGCCGGCTCATCCAACTTTGCATAGAGCTTTGGCAAGTGGCTATAAGCAAGTTAATTGCCCAAACGAGGCGATAGAACTGTTCTTGGCAGCCCACATCAAGATTGGTTATCTAGTTACTTGCTTAACTAAACTCTAAAGGCCAGTGTGTTGCTAAGCTCACTGAAATTGGGAGCTCCAAATAAACGAAGTTCAAGGACACACTGGGAGTAGGCATCATCATGATGCATTCCATTTCATTCAAAGAAAGAAAGCCCGCTTATTTAAAGCATCATATCCCTCTACAGCCTCGCTCTCATCTCTCTACAAAAGGATATCATCAAGAGTTCATCCACTCTATGGGGTTATAAAACCAACCCTCTCCATAGACTACGCAGAATCCACCAAAAGACGCAAAAATTGCAGACAACAAACATTCCCCTCAAAGGTCCATCCCACATACCCCTTACAGCTTAGAGCTGCTTCATGCCTCATCAAGAGCAAGGACTCCAGGGAGTGGCTTCCCCTCCAGAAGCTCCAAACTTGCACCTCCTCCAGTGGATATATGGCTCATCTTGTCAGCCAGCCCAACTTTCTCCACTGCAGCCACGGAGTCTCCTCCTCCAATGATCGTTGTCACACCCTTCCCACTCAACTCAGCCAACTTCTTGGCAATCGCCTGAAAAATTGAACACACCACAATGACCTCACATTCCACTCAAATATTGAGACTAGCCAAAGTTGCAACCAGTTACCATAAACACTAATGCATACCTCGGTTCCCACTGCAAACTTATCCATCTCGAACACACCCATGGGTCCATTCCAGATGATGGTCTTGGTGGTATCCAAGGCCTCGCTGAACGTCTTGATGGAATCTGGCCCGATATCCAAACCCATCCACCCATCCGGGATCTCGGATGCTGGCACCACCTGCACCAAACAAACAGACATTTTCAGCCAAACCATTCAAACCAACAACGCAGACATAAACAAGTTTCTATTGACTGAAACAGACCTTGCTGTTGGCATCAGCAGCAAATTTGTCAGCAATGACTACATCAGTAGGCAACAATAGGGACACTCCCTTGGTCTTTGCTTTCTCAAAGAGTGTAGTAGCCAGCTCAAGCTTGTCTACCTCCACAAGGGATGACCCAACTGCCTTTCCTTGGGCCTTGTAGAATGTAAAAATCATTCCTCCGCCCAGCAACAGCACATCGACCTTCTCCAATAGAGATTCGATCACGCCAATCTTAGATGACACCTTCGACCCCCCAACAATTGCAGCAAATGGCTTCTTGGGGTTTGAAACAGCTCCATCAAGATAATCAAGTTCCTAAAGAAAGCAAAGAACCATACATTAAGCAATGCAACAATCTTCACACAAGTAAAGACATGGGGGAGTTTGGCAGATGGATTTCAAAATTGATGGATTTTGAGAGGTGAAATGGATTCGGGATTGTGTGTGTGTGTCTCATAATTAAATGAGAAAGAGATAAAATGTTAAAGACTTTTGACATTTTCCTACATAGCCATGATTTACAAATCCATCAGTTTTCTTTTTGTGAGCCAACCAATGCTGTTGAAACAATCCATCAACTAAATATCCATCAGCCAAACAGTCTCAGAATACAGTAGGAGATGGTCAACCATACCTTCTGCATGAGGAAACCAGCAACGGCAGGCTTCACGAATTTGGCAACTCCTTCGGTGGAAGCATGGGCCCTATGGGCCGTACCGAAGGCATCATTGACATAGACATCAGCAAGTGAAGCCAGCTTCTTAGCAAACTCGGGATCGTTCTTCTCCTCCTCCTTGTAGAATCTCACATTCTCAAGGAGCAGCACACCTCCATTTTGGGTCTCGGCAACCAATTTCTCAACCTCCTCACCAACACAGTCATTAGCCATCTTAACCTACCAAACAGAGAAAATAATGGTAAGAACTCAAACAATTCCAGTGGATAGAGGAGACCAAGATTAGAACTTATTCCAAGGAAGCAAACCTCGACTCCAAGCAGTTCAGACAGTCTTGGCACCAGAGGCTTCAAGCTGTACTTAGGAGTAACACCCTTCGGGCGACCCTGGGAATCATAATCGGAGAATCAAACAGAATAAGTTTCTAACGGACAGTAATGAACTCAACAGCATCGCTCCAATTTGAAAATTTTCTGGTGAATACGATAATGTTAGAAAGAGTAGGAGACTGAACAATGAACAGAGGACCTTAAGCTTTCACCACTATTGGAATATCATGATAAATAAGAGAACTTTCCTTATGGACATAACTAAATGGAGTAGTAACACAACAAACGTGAAAGAAAGGACAGCCACTCCAAGAGATAACAATTAGGATCTAAATCAAACAGATAAAAGTACAGAGCTCCGTTAGAATGGTAAAATCCATGCTCAAGAAGGTAAATGATGAACCTCAATGAGCAGTTGAGCCTAGTGACTATGATCCAGGTAGTACAAGCAAGGTTATAGAATAAGGGCTGCTAAAGCGGGAGAAGCCAGGAAGAGGTTCCAGCTACTTGGTAAATCCTAACAGAGAATCCGATACAAATATACATTTCAACATCTGAACTTTAGACAAAACAACATATCATAACTTCCTTCTGATGCAAATCTAAAGACTGGCTTCGATCAACCACTGACATTTTGCAAAAAATTGAAGTCAATATGCTCAAAATCTATGTCCAATATGGAAAATCAATGTCACAAATGCGTGGAACATTCGAATCAAGTGATATCCAATCTTAAAGACATTACTTTAGCAGGAAAACCATTTTCTGGCTAACGATCACAAGGAGATCAGAAGGATCATTGGGTGTGGAAGGACGCGGATGGTATACAGAAGCGAAAACCCAGATAAACTAATACACACGTATTCCTTCTAAGCTGAGAATGGGAAAAGATCAAATACCAAGTGAGAGGAGAGGATGACTCTGGCGCCATGATCTATCAAGTACTTGATGGTGGGAACAGCGGCACGAACCCTGGTATCATCAGTGATCTTGAGGTTGTCGTCGAGAGGAACATTGAGATCCACCCTGACGAACACTCTCTTCCCCTTCAAATCAGCCTCCTTCAGAGACCCAACGCTCTTCTTGGCAGCCATATCTTAAAACACTGCGGATTCAGCAATCACAGAAACATAAAGTCGAGGAATTAACTAATGCCCAGATCGTAAAAAGCTGAAAAAAGAAAGAGAACTTACAGATCGCAAATAGTGCTGTGTGTGTGTGATGAAGAAGACGACAGGTGGAGCTAAAATTGAGGCTTTGGTCGAAGGAAGGAGAAGGGGGAGTTTATATAGGAAAAGCGAGCTGAGAAACTTCTTTCCTTTCGGTTGGAAAGATAGGGTTGGGTCGGGTTTTCTTGCGGAGCACACTGGAATTTGGGCGGGTCCATACCGCGGTAAAAGTAAAAACCTTGGGCCGGGAGGGACTTGGGGACTGCCGGAAGCCATTTAGGGCTCGTTTGCGTCGTGGATTTGAAAAATGAAGGTTTTGGTATAACTTGAGTTTTGAAAAACCATGGATAAATGAGGGTTTTAGGTTCATTATGGATTTGATGAACACCATTGTTTGTTTGATGGATTTCATGATGGATTTTGTTTATTAAATTTGTATGTATGAAGTGTAATTTACCTTTATTGCCCTTAATGATATAAGAAGAGAAAGCAAATATGAAGGGTATGTTGGTAAAAAATGATGGACTTCAAAGTCCATAATCAATTCCCACCTAAATAGGTGGAACTTTCAAGTCCGTGGGGTCCACGGATTTGGTCCCTTAAAGTTCGTGGGACCCACGGATTTGTTTCCCCTAAATGCATGAAGCAAACAATGGATTTTGGACAAAGTCCATGATGGATCCAAATCCTTCACCAAATCCATCAAGCAAACAAGAATGTGATTCGCATATGATATGAGCGTGATTTTTGCTGCTTTTCCATCTTCTGGTGAGGAATATTCTTTTATGGGTAAATGACACATTTGGTCACTGAGATTATTAAATTGTGTCATGTTTAGTCACTAGAAAAAATTAATATCAATTTTGGTCACTCGAATTACCGAAACTGGTCAAATTTAGTCACTCTCCCGTCAGCTTCCGTCCAACTCCATTAATGTAGTTGGACGGAAACTTTTGGGAGAGTGACTAAATGTGACATGTTTCAGTAATCCGAGTGACTAAATGTAACATTTTTCAATAATTCGAGTGACCGGAGTTGGACAGAGGCTACAGAAGAGTGACAAAATGTGACCTGTTTCAGTAATTCGAGTGACCAAAATTGATATTAATTTTTTCTAGTGACTAAATATGACACGATTTAGTAATCTCAGTGACCAAATGTGTCATTTACCCATTCTTTTATATATGAAAGGTGAGTACTTTATTGGCCTAACTTTGCTACTATTGTTTTGCCATAAATTGCAAGGTTGGTCACTGGAATTACTAGAAAGTTTCACGTTTGCTACTAAAATTAGTTTATTCCAATCATGGTCACTAAAATTAGTATAACAGTTCAAATTTGGTCACTCTCCGTTAGCCTCCGTTAACTTTTGTTGATGTGGCAGTCAACTCTGACAGTTGACCGTTAAATATGTGACGTGTCAATTAAAAAATTATAATTTTCACCTCATTATTACCATCAATTAAAAAAATAAATAAAATATAAATACGGAAGAGGCGCCTAGGAGGATCAATAACGCCGGCCGGCCGGCCGGTCACCCTTTTCCTTTCTTCAATTTGAAAGCTCTCTATCTGGGTTCATGAAAGGTACCAGCATCTCTATGATGGTGGTGGTGTTGCTGGAAAATCCATCTCAGCCCTTGAAGCTCTTCTTGATTTGAAAAGATAAGAGTACCATTTTTTTTTGGACAAGCAGAACAAGCGACAGCTTCCCATACTCATATTGAACAAGAAACATTCCATAAACAGTTGTAAACAAAACTGTATCCAATTGAAATATCAAATCCCAAACATCCAACTCGCTATTGATAACAGGGTTTTCAAATCTCACAATAACAGGGAAAAGGAGAACGAACTGCAGAAATTCACCTAGATCGATAAGCTACGTTCCACTTCGTTTATTGAAAAGGAAGCAAACTACTTGGATTTCTGTCTCATATTTCGGCGCTTCCTCTTCAACCTCCTCATACGCTTCTTCTTCCACTTAGCTCTCGTGATGAAGGTCGAGCAGCCTCTCTCAGGTCTCTTTCTCTGCTTTGCTTTCGCCTGGATAAACCCTTGTTTGAACTTTGAAGGAGACTCGCCGTCTCCTTTTAATCACTCTGTCACTTATCGTCATCCAAAATGACTCGCCGTTTCCATCTCCTCCCGCCAACCCATACTCGTCGTTTCCATCTTCTCACCCCCGCCCTCCGACCCCGCGAAAAACCCACCTCCGTCGTCGCCTCCCCTGAAGCTGTACAGCGACCTGGACCTCGAAATCATCCCGTCGCACCCCCCCCCCCCCCCCCCCCCCACCGCCGCGTAATCGTCATCGAGAATCCACAGGTCGTCATTCCGGTCTTCCATTCAGACGATGTATATCTGATGTTTTTAGCTGATGGGATGATATCAGTTGGCTTCTTTGTTGTCAGGGGATAATTTATGCTGGATTTGCAAAAAAAAAAAAAAAAAAAGTGCAGGTTTGGTAGGAATGGCCCTTTGATACATACAAGAATTGTTTTGACCTTTTACCTCTCACTTTTTCCATTCCATATGTGGCACTAGAGCTGTATATTTATGCTGGATTTCTATTTAATCATCATCTTTGTTGTGAAGTTTGTCTTCATGATGTCTCTTTTGTCTACTATAGGTACCATGTTTTAGTGTTCATGGCTGAAATAAGTATTTATTCTCTGTTGACAGTTCCCATGGTGGTGTATAATGCTTGAACTTGGACCTGGAATTACTCACAAAAGGTAAACTTACTATGTCCATATGTATCTCGCAATCAACTGTTATCAATCATCCTTCCTAACCTTTTCATTTACACTGCAGCTATGTTCTAAGCAACTTCTATAATCACATAAAACTGGTTTTTGTTCATCTCTTTGAATCGCATCTCCAAAGAAATTCAATTGAGATATAGAGGGACATAGGATCGACGCGAGCAGGTGTTTCATATATTAAGGTTCCCATTTTGGTTTGGTCCAGTTTACTTTTGGGGTTTTCCTACCTTTCGCTGATGTTGACCTTAGGAATGCAGAGTAAACCAATTTGTAACTGCGGAATCATTTTCTGAAATCTCGATGGCATATTTATGCTTTAGTTTCTAACTTGCATTCTTTTCCCTCTTTGTAATCCAGGTTGAACTATTGAGTTTCCTCTTGACTGTCCTGCGTATATGAATGTTGGGGAACATGACAAGTCTGTTGCATTGTTTTGATCCATAGGAAAAAGAAAAGTATTGCCTGATTCTGTTACTTATAAAGTCTTCATAAGTGGGTGCTGCAAGATGTCAAAATGCAGCCAAGCTATAGAGTTTTTTTTGGGGAAAATGGTGGATTCAAAATTTCGATTGACAAAGGTGGTTTACTCATCTGTGATTTCTGCCTACAACAAGCAGGTAAGCCCTTGAATAATGGTACAGACTCTATCCATTGCTGATTTCCCATTTGCTCATGTCAGTACTTTGCCCTCTACTGTGAGTTTGTGTTAGTTCATTCTCCTCATTTCTTGCTTTGATGTTGAGTGGTGGGAAGCTGCTTTACTCACTTTGATGAGAGAGGAACATGGTTAAGGAGTTGGTGAAGAGGCTTAGTCTTATATTCAACGAGGTAACTTCAATTCCTCTTAATTGTCATCCTTCATCATTGGGCTTCCCGTTTTGGTTTCCTGATGCTGCTCGCGGCTTTTTTATGGGTTGTGCTTTGTGCTTCTTACCTTATATAACTTCAGTGCATGCATTTGTTTCTAGAAGTGGCAGCAGTTCGCAGTAACAACATACATGAGTAGCCGTACCAACAACACTTGTTGGTATGCTTTGTTCATTTGCTTATTTTATTCTACAATGTGCTTCCATAAATTTGTCAAAATTTTCGTTTGCATTATTATGCACGATGTTGGTCTGAAATTTATATTAGCTGAAGTGAAGGTTCATGCCACTTCAAGTTGCTGCAGAATTAGAAAGTGCCATTACCAATATTGATGTTGCAACTTTGCTTTCTTTATCATTCTAGAGGAAAGGGTTTAAATTCTTATGCTGTCAATTCTGGATTTAATTTTGCCCAATGTATAACTATTCCTGGCATCTGCAATTTGTAGGTATTCTGTTTTAATGGGTTCTAGGCAGGTTTCCCATGCCAAACTTCAAGTAACATTTGAGTTAATTTATACTTGGAGATGCTTAGTAGACTCTTCCTCTATTGAGGCGCTTACTTCATGTTCTCTTAGTTTTCTTTTTTGGCAAAAAAATGTTGATTTTGATCAGTCTTCTTTCTGAGAAGGAATTTGGATTGTATTTGCATTAGAAGAGTCCAAAAAGATACTTCGGAAATGAAGTCCAGACCAGAAGAACAAACCAAAGAAAGAAGTGAAGGAGAAGAAATTCATGGCAGAATTGGCATATACCTGAAACATGAAGTTGCAAAGCCAGAAGAAGCTTTTAAATTTCTTAGTTTTTTTAGCAAAACATATAATACTATTTTCTGTATATCATTTCTAACAATTTCGTTATACCTATACTGTTTTTACTTATACAAAACACGACTACATTTCCCGCGGCGTAGCGTGGGTATTGATTCTAGTTCTATTTGATTTGCTACAACATTCCAGTAGTTCGGCTTCTAATCACTCAATGGCTACTTAACAAACGGGCTTTTGGAGAAACGAGATGGATGGAAGTGGAAGAGCGACGAGTGAGTGTCAGTCCCAAATGAAGCCCGTTTCAAATCAAAGGGATGTAATGAGGAAACCATGCACAACCCGTTGGCTTTATGCGCTCGATCGGAGTTCATATCTAAAGATCAAGGTCAAGAACCAGTTGCTCCCAATAACTCGAGTTGTTGGGAGAGGTTCAATTGTGGATCATATACCACAACACTAACACGCCCCCTCAAACGAAAGCCACTCATAAGGGCTTGAAGTTTGCACAGGTCTGAAGACAAGAATACCATGTGCTTAACAAATGGGGGTCACCGGGAATCGAACACAAGACCTCTCGATCACAGAAGGCTCTGATACCATGTCAAGAACCAGTTGCTCCCAATAACTCGAGTTGTTGGGAGAGGTTCAATTGTGGATCATATACCACAACACTAACAGTCGACAGGTTCACAACACCCAACTCGTGATTTGAGACCATATTAGTGACCAAGTCGATGGTGTACTAATGTTATAGGCCGTTGGGCAGCCGGAAGGTTGCCATGAGTAAGTAAGTTTTGAATATCGAAAACAATTCTCCGTGCACCGAACATGTATCAGTGACCAAGTCAATAGGTCGCTAGGTCGCTACACCCAAATCGTACTCTCACCAATTCAAAACCGTTTTTTATCATCTCTCCAGTTTGATCTCAGACCCAATGTAAACAAACATCATTGCATACTCAGTTGAAGTTTATACTAAACATTACTTACAAGATTCCAAGGATTATTAATCCTCATAATCCATGGGTTGACTTTTCTGAAAAGGACCCATAAAGACACAGCCAACACGCAGCACAAGTCACAAGAGGGAGTTTCTGTGATGTAATATGTCACGCCACGGTTCATCAACATTTATATCCCTCCATCTCCAACCTCATTGAGTGGGAATCTCATATATCAGTAGGCCATATATATACATCAACTTCCTCCACAAAAATAAAACCAGCAGGCATCAACCTAGCCAGAAAGAAAAATTGGTGGATGGGAACTGAAACCTTTTCTTTGTCCCATCTCTTCCAAATCTCCACCACACCACTATCCCCAATATACTCTATCCCATCCTACACCAACCAACCCAAGTTGGACAAGTGCAACTCAATTCACTAGAGAACAAGGCACAGCAACCCATCAACAGAAATCAATTCAAAAGATAAACGATGCATTTATTTGATAATAAGATGGGTTCGTTTGGATAGATCAATCTAGAAATGAAACAATTTGATCAATTGTCTCGTTTTATGAATGAGGTAATTAAAACGAGTCAATTCAAATTACCTGCCCCACCCCAGACAATTGAAATTGACTCAAAACGGATCAATTCAAAATAACTCAGACAAATTGATCCATCCCAATTTTTTTGCTGGCAAACGAGTCAATTTGGTATAATTGTTTCAAAACGAGACAATCGTGTCAAATTGATCCATTACAATTTCTCATCCAAACGACCCAACAAAGGTGGTATTGGACCTCTTGATATTGCAGGCAGGCAAACATGAAGATTGTACAAGAACAGCTCACATCTTATATCTCTACATCATCACAACTCTCGTTGACAATAGCATCATAATGGCTGCCAAAAAAAAAAAAAGAATTTATCTTACACGGCAACTGGTGTGGCTTCATCCAAAGCAAGGACTCCTGGAAGCTCTTTCCCTTCCAATAGCTCCAAGCTGGCACCTCCCCCGGTGGAAATGTGGCTCATTGCGCTTGCTACTCCTACCTTCTCCACAGCTGCAACTGAGTCTCCTCCTCCGATGATCGTTGTCACACCCTTGGCGCTCAGGTCTGCTAGCTTCTTTGCTACAGACTGCAAAACCACAGCCAAACAGGTCGTTTTCATCATATACACTTAAGCACACCACGAATTTCTGTCCACAAAACTTCACCATGCTTCTATGTATATGGTAATGGTTGTTTGACATTTCATAGTGTATGAAATGTGTGGATATGTAATAGGTTGGATGCACTTTTTTGAAGGAGGAATGTTGCTGATGAAATTTGCCTTTAAAGTGAAATGTACAATTTTACCTTTGTTTCCTGCTTACAAATGCCTTATTAATAGTGTTAATATGAGGCTTTATAAAGGGGATTTCGGTTAAAATGGATCATGAAAGTGGATAAGGAATTTACATTGCAACATCCCATGATCAGCACAGTCCACTGGTCCTAAAATGGCCATCTAGGGAAAGTAGGCAATATTCCATGGTCAAATTCTGTCATCCAAACAAAACTTTGGCCCCCTTATGCCCCACTGACTCCAAGAAGATGAAAAGCATTCAATTAAAGCATGCACTCATACAGCTATTAAATACCTCAGTTCCGGCGGCAAACTTCTCAAACTCAAAAACTCCCATTGGCCCATTCCAAATCACAGTTTGGGTAGTCTCCAAGGCTTCGTTGAACGTCTTGATAGAATCTGGACCAATGTCAAGCCCCATCCAGCCATCCGGAATGGCTGATGCCGGCACAATCTGTCAAGGAAAAAAATACTTCAATATAATTTCCTCCTCGATAAACTATACACTGAAACATGGGCTTAAAGCACCATTTATAAGAAACAAACCTGGCTGTTAGCATCAGGAGCAAATTTGTCAGCAATGACAACATCAGTAGGTAGCAATAGTGAAACCCCCTTTTCCTTGGCCTTGGCCATGAGAGAGGTTGCAAGGTCAAGCTTATCTTCCTCGACCAACGATGACCCCACCGACAGACCTTGAGCCTTGTAGAAGGTGAAGATCATTCCTCCACCCAAGAGAAGGATGTCACACTTCTCCAATAGGGACTCAATGACTCCAATCTTGGACGAGACCTTTGAACCACCGACTATGGCAGCGAACGGCCTCTTTGGACTCGAAATAGCGCCTACAAGATAATCCAGCTCCTGTGAACACAGAAAAATGAAGAGATTCAGTAACCCACACCATCAATTATTAGCGATAGTCCAGCCAGCAAAAAAGGGCAACCTTTTGCAAGAGGAAGCCAGCAACTGAAGGCTTCAAGAATTTGGTGACACCCTCAGTCGAAGCATGAGCTCTGTGTGCAGTACCAAAAGCATCGTTCACAAACAGATCAGCAATGGAGGCAAGCTTCTTGGCGAATTCAGGTTCATTCTTTTCTTCCTCCTTGTAAAACCTCACATTCTCAAGGAGAAGAACTCCACCCTCAGGGAGAGCAGCAACTGCTTTCTCCACCTCTGGGCCAATGCAATCTTCAGCCTTCACAACCTGCGCAAGTTAGCAAAAGACTGGTCATTGACTCCATCTCCAAGTCAAAGTTACCCCATAGTCGTAAATATCGCAAGAAGAGGAATAAGCACCTCGATACCAAGGAGTTCAGATAATCTGGGAACCAGAGGCGCCAAACTGAACTTTGGGGTAACACCCTTCGGTCTACCCTGCACAAAGTTGTTGAAGCAACGATTCAGAAAACACAAGAACACACGCATTCCGACATAGACAATTATGCTAAGAACTGATTTAAGCTCAATATGCAGAAGTTCTTTGAAGAATTGGTGGAACAGTATCAACATGAAAAGGTTTGATTCCAGCTCACTGGAAACCCATTGGCCCAATCAAATGAGGCAAAATGAAGATGGAGAAGCAAAAGAACAGAACTTACAGCTGAATAAAGTGCTAAAATGCAATTGAAGGAGTGGAATAGGTGGGAGGGGAAATACCAAGTGGCTGGAGAGGATGACTTTAGCTCCATTCTGCATCAAATGCTTGATGGTAGGGATTGCAGCTCTGATTCTGGTATCGTCGGTGATGTTCTGGTTGTCATCTAGCGGGACATTCAAATCAGCTCTCACGAAAACCTTCTTCCCCTTCAAATCAGCAGCGCTTAAATCCCCAACACTCTTCTTGACGGCGGACACTACCAATCCCCTGTTGGACTTGGCGCGGGAGGAGGAAGAAGAGGAGAGGGCTCGGATGGTCAGAGGGTCAGCGGCGGAGAATGCGAGGCTGCGGAGGCCGGAAGAAGAGGATGAGCGGAGGCCAGAGTAGGAGAAGGGGAGAACGGCGGCGCGTGAGCGGGAAGCGGAGGAAGATGATACTGTTATTTTGAGGAGGGAGAGTGAGGTCGGGGCGGTGGCGGACGCCATTGATGGAGAATTTTGAAAGAGGCGGTGGTAGAGTTACAGCGAACTGAGTGAGCGAGCAAGTGGCGGCAGAGTGATGATGAATGCCGATGATACGAATAGAAGGACGAAAGGGAAGGGGAAGAAGACAACGGGAAGATGTGGACGGCAGTAACGAAGCTAAAAAGCTAATGGTGAGCTGAGAAATCTGCGAGGAGAAAATCGAAGCCCCAGCTTTAGATTGTTCTCTTATCGCTGACGAGAGGCTCAAGATGTTCGATGCTCTTCCTTCCTTCTATTCTATTTTCTCCTCCAATTTTCACTTTTTTAATTTTTTCCTTCTTGCAGTTACGTGGTTAGATGGGCCTCAACGCAAGCCCAATGAGCCTAACATCCAGTTATTTTTCCCGCCACACCCAGCACATGAGCCCAACATCCAAAAAAAAAAAAAACTTCTCCAAGATCTAGAATTTCCATCAAATTTTCGATAAACCTCCACAAAGCCTCTTCCTCTTCCCATAGCTGATGAAAATTGAAACAATCAGATCCTCTCTGGTTCGGCAGCTCCAAAGAAATGAACTCTACGGTTTCTCACAAGCATCATCATAACCCGCTCTTCCACAACTCGACTCTCCCAGTTTGCCGGTTTCCCGCTTTACATTTCTCCGGCGCGCAGAATTTCAGGACTTCACGAAGGAGGAGAACGGCTCCACTGATAAGGTCTTCTTCTTCTGGAAATGCAAATGGGTCGGGCGGGTTTTCTTGGCGGGATGTGTCGGAATCTCTCCGGCGTGGTTCGGAGAAGCTAATGCTGAAGTTCAGCGAGTCAGTGTTGATATGACTTGAATCGGATTATCAGCCGCTACGACTGGTAACCGGGGGTCTCGCTGCCCGGTCAGCGAGTGGGGTCCAGGGGCAACGCCCCGGTGGGGGTGCGGGGGCAACGCCCCCGGCCCACGGTGTATAAGCTCAATGTTATTTGGGTTCGGGTTCTGGGCCTGGTCTGTAACCGTTTCCTTTGCTAGATTGGATTAGGTTTAGACCCACATGGAGAAGTACTATAAATACTTCTCATACTCCTCTGTAATCTGTAATCTCCTCGATATAGTGAAACTGGCTCTCTCTCGCCCGTGGACTAGCTAACACACATCGTGTTAGTGAACCACGTAAATCGTGTGTCTGTGTCTTTCGATTCTCGCTCTCGTATTCTTGCTTTGTCGATTCCGGCGATTTCCCGATCCGTAGCAGCGCGTTTATAACAGTCAGTGAAGGAGGAAACTGGGTTTGATTTTGGAAGAGTCAATGCCGAGGCGGGTGAGCTGCTGGAGAGAGCTAAGGTTGAGGTCAGTAAGGGCGAAGCCGAGTTGACTCGATTCAGGACCGTCGTGCTGCCCGAGTTTCTGGATTGGAATAGTTGGGAGCGTTGGAAGGTAGACGAATTTTCCCTCCTGGAACTCTTTGTCCACTGTTTGGTTGGTTTGCCGAGAAAGCTTGGTTGAATGGCTTAGTGTATCATAAATTGTATCACTGTCTCCTTTTGCGGACAGAAGGCTGAATGTTTGCAGTTAAAAAATGAACTCTGAGATTGCTGTTTGAATTTCTCAGGATAACAAAGATTGAAACCCTGAGGCTTAAAGCCTTTTTCATTGATCAGAATTGGCTCTTATAGAGAAGTCATTACAGAAGAAGACAACCAGCTGCTACATGTTGTTTGTTTGCTTGAAAAGGAAACAATACCAAGCTTGGCAGAAAAGCAAACGTACAGCTAAGAAATGACAAAAACGACACAACATAAGGAAAGGAAGAGATGAAACGGTAAGTTCCACTTGAGCTTGATCAAAACGGTGAGCATCGATCAAGTTTAATCTTCTTCTTCTTCAATTGAGTCCCGCTCTCCTCCAATGGTCGAACTGAAGGGAATTGGGGATTTGAAATCCCTAGCTGTTACCCCCCTGCAAGCTGGTGGGCAGAGATTGCGCACACCAAGCTTGGCGATGAGGGAACGAAATGGCGCTGGGGAGAGAGGTTTGGTGAAAAGATCGGCCAGTTGATGAGTATTGGAGACATGAAGAAGCTTGATGGTGTTATTCAGCAACTTTTCACGAACCAGATGGCAATCCAATTCGATGTGCTTGGTTCGTTCGTGGAAGGTTGGATTTTGTGCAATGTATATGGTGCTCTGATTGTCGCAGAAGAGAGTAGCAGGCCGAGCATGGGGGACTTGAAAGTCCTTCAGCAAATACATGAGCCATTGAAGTTCGCAGGAGGTGAAAGCTAGAGCTCTGTACTCAGCTTCACATGAAGATCGAGAGACAATTTTCTGTTTCTTGCACTTCCACGAGATAAGAGAATCACCCAGATAAACACAGAAGCCAGAAATTGACCTGCGAGTGTCAATGCAAGCAGCCCAATCCGAATCAGAGAAAGCCTTCAAGTGAAAGGAATTGTTCTTGGGGAAGAATAGGCCTGTTGCTGGAACAGATTTGAGGTAACAGATGACTCTCTGAACATCTTTGAAATGTTGAATGCTCGGATTGACCATGAATTGGCTCAATTGCTGAGTAGCATAGCTTATATCAAGCCTGGTAGTGGTGAGATAGATAAGCTTTCCCACTAATGTCCTGTAGAATTCAGGATCTTCATAGGGAGTAGAGCATTCTATAGACAAATGTAACTTGTAATCCATTGGAGTGGATGTTGTTTTTGAATCAAGAAGGTTGGCTTCTTCAATTATCTCCAAGGTATATTTCCTTTGAGAAATGTGTATCCCAGTTGAATTCCTGGACACCTCAATACCAAGAAAGAATTTCAGAGTTCCCATGTCTTTGATGCTAAATTCTGAATGCAAAGCTTTGAGAGTTTCTATTTCTTGTAAATCATTCCCTCCGAAAACGAGATCATCCACATAGATCAGAATGCAAGTGTAGCTTGTAGGTGTGGCCTTATAGAACAATGAATGATCAGCCTGACTTTGAACAAACTTATAAGTGAGAAGCTTATCAGTCAGCTTAGAAAACCATTGACGTGATGCTTGTTTCGAACCATAGAGTGACTTGTTGAGCCTGCAAACTGGATTTGTAAAACCAGGAGGTGGTGTGTAACCTTTTGGGAGAGACATGTAAACCTCTTCCTTTAAATCACCATGGAGGAAGGTATTATTCACATCCAACTGGTGAATATGCCAATTCCTCTGAGCAGAATAGCTAAGAACAATCTGACAGTGGTCATCTTGATGACAAGAGCAAATGTGTCCTGATAATCAACCCCTTCCTGTTGTGTATGACCTTTAGCAACTAGCCTGACACGAAATTTGTCCAATGAAGCATATGAATTGAGCTTCACTTTGTAAACCCACTTGTTCCCAATGGTTTTCTTTCCTGGTGGTAAATTTACCACATCCCAAGTTCTGTTTTTGAGCAGGGCACCTATCTCATGCTTCATGGCAGCATTCCACTGTTCTGACAGTGCTGCTTCTTTGTAAGTGTTAGGCTCATGAAAGCTAGATAAGGTGAGAACAGAGTGTTTGTATTCAGGAGATAAAGAGTTGTAGGAAAGAGAGGAGAAAAGAGAATACCTCTTGTCTTGAACCTGTTGATGTGAAGAATGACATGGTTTGCCTGCTTGTTGAAGTAGATAGCAATGGTAATCTTTTGTTAAGTGGGCTGGTGGTTTAGAATGTCTATCTGATCGTCTTAGTGTGGGAAAGGTGGGAGGGGGTGGAGGGGGGAAGGTGGAGATTGTGTAGGAGGTTGGTCTGGTGAGGCTCTGATACCATAACAAAGATTGAAACCCTAAGGTTTAAAGTCTTTCTCATTGATAAGAATTGGCTCTTATAGAGAAGCCATTACAGAAGAAGACAACCAGCTGCTACATGTTGTTTGTTTGCTTGAAAAGAAACAATAGCAAGCTTGGCAGAAAAGCAAACGTACATCTAAGAAATGACAAAAACGACACAGCATAAGGAAAGGAAGAGATGAAACGGTGAGTTCCACTTGAGTTTGATCAAAACGGTGAGCATCGATCAAGTTTAATCTTCTTCTTCAATTGAGTCCCGCTCTCCTCCAACGCTCGAGCTGAAGGGAATTGGGGATTTGAAATCCTTAGCTGTTAAAGGATGTCAAGCATTGGGAGCGGAAACGAGTAGCTGCCCTGATTCTCTACGCTTTCGTGGTCTTGTTTTCTTTCCAAAGGGTGTATGTTGCTGTTCGAGCACCTTTTATTGCACGACAAAAGAAAGAAGCGACAGAGGCTTTCATGGAGGCACTGATTCCTGAGCCAACTCCCATTAATGTTAGAAAGTAAGTGCAATTGCTCACTCGTATCTCTGGATGCTGAAAATCACTTAGAACACTGTTTGACTTTAGGTTGAGTACACCAGTTATGTGGCATGCTATGAATGCCTCATGAATGATTTGAGAATGGAGAATAACCACAATGCACCAGCATAAACAGTACCTGTCTGAAGAAGACAGTTTTTTTAAGTGAAACATGCACTAGTCTAGAATGTCCTTTTGTCTCAACGAGAACATATTGAGAAGTGGAGGCTTTACACTACAAAACTTTATAGCTGGAGACATTTTTCTCCGAGTGGACAGGTTTAAGAAGGGCATATGGAGGAAGACAGTCCCAAAGGGTTTGAAGATGAAGAAATTCATTCAATCGCCTGATGGAACACTTATTCATGATACCTCTTATGTTGGAGAAGATGCATGGGATGATGATGCAATGCCACCTCAGGAAAATGTGAAGCAAATTATTGAAAATGATAAAAGACTAAATACAGAAGAGAAGAAGGAACTAGAAGAAGAGTTGGGGATTTCAGGTCAGTTGTTAACTATATTGGCATGCAGGTAATAATATTATGCATGAGTCCATATTGTCCCTTCTCCTTCTGCCTTGAATTCTCCATAACTATGAATTTTTCCTTTAGTGCTCAGAGTTGCACATGAGCAGTCAGAATATATTGAGGATTTCATTATTTGAGTTCAGTTCCGCTACTAAAGTGTATGCAGTTCCTCAAAAAGTCCCTAGTTTGAGATTTCAAAGCAACCTATCTTGTGTTTTATGACCACCAACAATGGAGTCCTTTTATTTGTTTCCTTAAAAGCATTCTTCTTAAGAGAACATTCAGACTGTATAGACTACAGGTAACTCTTACTGAAGTTACAGCTAGAGAAGGACGTTGTCTATAAGCACCTGTGAAGAATAGCAAAGAGAAGTATATGTCAGTTAAGTTGACAGAGTCTTTAGTTGTTTGGTTTATTTGTGTCATGATGGTGGGATGATAGACATGTGTTCTTGGTGGTTGTAGATATTCACTATGATATGTTGCTCTTTAACTCTCCTTTCTTTTGTCTTGATGCTTGCTTAGGAAATAAAGAGCAACAAAGTGTAGGATCATGGCGTGAAAGGCTCCAATTATGGAAGGAAATCCTCAATAAGGAGAAATTGGCTGAACAGTTAGATGCTTCAAATGCCAAGTACGCTGTTGAATTTGACATGAAGGAGGTTGAAAATAGTCTTAGAAAGGATGTGGTGGAAAAGGTATCAGAAAGCAATGGAGCAAGAGCCTGTGGATATCTAAGAGATGGTGGCGCTACCGTCCAACAATCCCCTATACTTACTTTCATCAGAAGCTTGATTCCTCAGAGGCAAGTGTTCGCCTTTTCCATTAGCTTTTAGCTGTTAATTTCAGTTGTCATTATTGGAGTTCCTTATCTTGCGGGTAAATACAAGAAAAAAGGGCAACTAACACTTTCTTGTACCAATGTCTTGTATGGGCCCCATTCTACTCTTCTTGTACTCGTATCTGACAGCAGATATGGAATCACCTCTGATCATACTGTGGTGGTCGACGCAAAATTAAATGGAATTAGGATGAAGGAAAGCCAAATGTTATATCTTCGTATAGGTTGAATGAATAAGATAGTCCTTGTTGTTTTCCCTAACTGAGCAGTGAAAATGTATTTCTTCTCTCTTGCCAATATCATTACAAAGCTTTGCCATTTATAGATGGCTAAAGATAGCTGTACAGATTTGAGAAAGGATTTGCAAAGATATGACAAATAAATGTGATGACATGTTTATGATCTGGAGAGATTTGAGAATTGAATGTAGGAGTGAACTCTAAATAGTGTCTGTCTATTTGTGTTCCATTACGCCCCCGCAAGTGAAACCTCTGTGAGGTGAAACTTGGAACAAAATCGCCAAAATGGTAGGCGAGTGAGAGGCTTTGTGAGCACATCTGCGAGCTGATCTGTAGCTGGTAGGTAACGAACATGTAGTTGATTCTTGTTGACCCTGTCTCGAACGAAATGAAATTCAATTTCCAGATGTTTGGATCGACTATGAAAAACAGGATTGTGCGCCAGGTAGGTTGCCCCCAAGTTATCACACCAGAGTACCGGAGACGAAGGAAGCGGCCGACCAAGTTCGGAGAGAAGTGCTTGAAGCCAAATAACCTCTGATGCTAATGTAGCCAAGGCGCGATACTCACACTCAGTTGATGATCTGGCCACCGATTTTTGTTTCCGAGTAGACCAGGAAATTAAGTTTTGTCCATAGAACACAGCATACCCTGTAATTGACTTTCGATCTTTGGGACAGGAAGCAAAGGAGGCATCAGAATAGCCATGAAGCTGTGGTTGATTAGAGCGCGTGAAAATGAGTCCGGTGGTGAGTGTTCCACGTAGGTAACGCATAATGCGTTTCACAGCAGACCAGTGAGCATCTGTTGGAGAATGCTGAAACTGGGAAACATGATTGACGGCGAAGGAAATATCCGGCCTTGTGAAACTCAAATACTGCAAACCACCTACAATGCTGCGGTATAACCCAGGATCATGGAATACTGGAGATGTATCAGATGCACTTTGAATAAGTTGTTCCGCAGTACAAGGAGTGGAAATCGCTTTTGCTTCAGACATACCAGATCGCTGTAATAATTCAAGAATGTACTTTCGTTGATGTAGAATCAAACCAGTGGCAGAATGATGGACTTCGAGTCCCAAGAAATATGAAAGTTGCCCAAGATCTCTAAGAGCAAACCGGGATCGGAGGAAAGTCATGAGCTGCTGAATAGTCGATGAATGAGTGCCGGTGATCACAATATCGTCGACGTAGACCAACATATATAAATTAACCTGGCCAGCCTTGTAGATGAAAAGAGAAGGGTCTGTCTTTGACGCGTTAAAACCAAAATCCCGAAGAGCTTGCGACAAACAGCGAAACCATGCTCTGGGTGCTTGTCGGAGACCATATATAGACTTTTTGAGGCGGCAGACGTGGTCGGGACGGTCCGGGTCAATGAATCCCTGTGGTTGACGCATGTATACCTCTTCTTGTAATGTGCCGTGAAGGAAGGCATTAGAGATATCCAGCTGGTGTAGCGGCCAAGAATGTGATACAGCAATGCCCAGTATAAGCCGTAAAGTTGCCGGTTTGAGGACTGGACTGAAGGTCTGGTCAAAGTCGCGTCCCGGAATCTGCTCAAATCCACGGGCGACGAGGCGGGCCTTGTGGCGCTCGATTGTGCCGTCTGGATTCGTCTTGATAGTGAATACCCATTTGTTAGATATCAAATTGCAATCGGGTGGTGGAGGAACCAGGTCCCAAGTGTGATTGCGAATTAAAGCATCAAACTCGGAAGTCATGGCAGCTCGCCAGTGGGCAATCTTCATTGCTTGGGCTGCTGTGGTTGGAAGAGCTGTTGTAGTGGATGCTACAAACTGCCGCGGCTTTAATTTGCCGGTTTGTGAGCGAGTGGTCATGCGTTGTGGAAGAGGAGGGGAGGCAGGGGTAGGAAGGATCCGGGGTGATGTGTTAAATGGAGGTCGTGGTGCAATTGAATGGCGGCGAAAATAAGTTTTGAGGGGGGGAGGAGGGGCGGCAGTAATGGGAGTAGATTGTGAGGTGATCTTGGTTGTGTGGGTAGGGGACAGGTTGGGGTGGGAAGATGGAGATGGGACAGAGGTGGATGGAGGGTTGGATTTTGGTGAGGGAATGGATGTAGACGTGGTGGTGGTGGGTGGTGGGCCTAGTAATGGTGGCCCAGGGTGGTAAGGGTGAGACAAAAGGGGGCTGGGTAAATTAATGGGAGATGTGTCGAAAAATTGCTGAAGGGAAGGAGTAGGAGTAGAGGGATGAGGAGTAGTGATAAAAGGAAAATTTGACTCATCAAAGAGTACATGTCGACTGACATAAATACGACCTGTGCTTCGATCAAGACAACGATAACCTTTGTGTAACTTACTATAACCCAAGAAAACACAAGGAATAGAACGTGGCTGAAGTTTATTAGATGTATACGGACGAAGCCATGGATAGCAAAGACAACCAAAAGCACGAAGACTAAGAATATCGGGTGTTTGTTTGAACAAGACAGTGAAAGGTGAGAGATTGTTGAGAAGAGGTGTGGGAGTACGATTAATAAGATAGCAGGCTGTGTCGAAAGCCAGAGGCCAGTATTTTAGAGGAACTTGTGCATGATGCAACATGGCAAGACCGTTGTTCACTATGTGACGGTGTTTGCGTTCAGCACACCCATTTTGCTCAGGAGTATGGGGACATGAGGATCGATGAGTAATACCATGATTAGCAAGATAGGAAGTGAGGGCTTGATATTCTCCACCCCAGTCAGATTGAAAAATTTTGATGGGAAGGTCAAAATATTTTTCAACAAGTTGACGGAATTGAGTGAACACACTGAGAACCTGAGATTTATTGCGAAGAAAATAGATCCAGGTGAACTTACTATAATGATCATAGAACAAAACATAATAAGATTGTTGATCATAAGAACAAACAGGAGCGGGCCCCCAAAGATCACTACATATAAGTTCTAAAGGAGCAGATGCACGATACGAGGAAGTAGGAAATGGAAGTTTATGAATCTTACTGAGTGAACAACCATGACACAAAGAAGAAGATTCGGGGGAGTATTTTATTTGATGAGACGACAAAAGGTGGCGAACAGCACGCAAATTGGCATGACCAAGACGCTGATGCCAGAGATCGAGCGAAGCAGCAAAAGCACGAGGAGAAGGACGTTGATTGAGGCGGAGCGGAAGAGAATAAAGGCCATCAACCGTAGAGCCTCGATAAAGTTCATGCTTCGTGTGGCGGTCCTTAATAACAAAATAAGAGTCAAAGAATTCAACGGATATGGGATTAGAACGGGTAAGAGAACTTATGGAAAGAAGATTGTGAGGGGAATTTTTGACTCGAAGTATATTATCAAGAGACATGGAATAATTAGACACATGGGCGGTAGAAGTGCCTATATGAGAAATGGGAAGAGAATTACCATTGCCAAACGTGACTTGATCGGTTCCATTATACTCAGAATGATGAGTCAGATTATCCAGGTCGGAGGTGAGATGATGATTGGCCCCAGAATCAAGGAGCCATGGTTGAGAAGAGTGAATAGGTTGTGACGATTGGGCCAAGTACGAAGCTGGGTTTGAAGAATAAGTGGGGTTTGGATATTTGGGACTTGGACAATTGGGCCGGATATGACCCTTTCCCCCACAATTATGGCAGACCACAGCAGATGGGCCGGATGGCCCAGAACCAAGAACTCCTGCAGACATATTGTTATTAGTTGGGACAGAATAAGATTGGAATTGGGCCGATGGATGGGCCCGTGTGTTGGGGAAATGGGTGGACTGGCGGGCCGACTGGCCACGTCCCCTTCCTCTTGTAAACCTGCCGCCACGACCACGGGATCGGCCAGAGAAGAAGGCTGAACGAGGAGCAGCATCACCAGCGGGGGAGAGGGACTGAAAGCGGCGGAGCTGAAGTTCTTCGCTGATGAGGAGGCTGCTGAGATCTTCAAACGAAATTGGCTCCAATTTGGCCTCCAAATTGCGGGTAAAGGGCCGGAAATCTTCATCGAGACCGTCGAGAATCGCAGTGACTAATTCAGCTTCTGTAATTGGGGCTCCGAGCGCGGCAAGTTGATCGAAGATGGCTTTGGCGCGTTGGAGGTATTCGTGGGCGGAATCCTCGCCGCGAGATATGTGATTCAGATTTCTCCGGAGCTGCCCAATGATGATCGGCGACCCGGAAGCATAAATCCGTGCCAGAGAATCCCAGGCAGCACGAGCAGTCTGTTTATTGATGATGGTGGGCATGACTGCCTCAGACAAAGAGAGGGTAATCCAGGTAAGAACCAATTGATCTCTTTCATACCATTCGGTATAGTCGGGATTTGGTTGAGCGTCAATGGTGAGTGGTGGAGCCGGAGAAGTGCCATCGATGTGGCCGATCAAGCGATGGCAGCGTAGCAGAGGCTGAAGTTGTGCCTTCCAAAGCAGATAATTGGTTGGGGTGAGCTTCACTGTCAGTTGAGGGTTGGAGGGGAGAGACAGACGAGGAGGTGTGATGGACTGAAGAGAGGCAGAGGGGGAGGAGGTTGTGGAGGAAGAAGTTGACATTATAGGAGAAGCAGAAAGTGGAAGCAGGAGAATGGAAATAAAACTCGTGAGAGTATACTATGCTCTGATACCATGAAAATGTATTTCTTCTCTCTTGCCAATATCATTACAAAGCTTTGCCATTTATAGATGGCTAAAGATAGCTGTACAGATTTGAGAAAGGATTTGCAAAGATATGACAAATAAATGTGATGACATGTTTATGATCTGGAGAGATTTGAGAATTGAATGTAGGAGTGAACTCTA